ACTACTAGTGAAACAATGGCAAGACGAAGGAGAAGAAAAAAAAGAATGCGGGGGGTCATGAGCTTTTTTTTTTTTTGGGGGGGGGGGGGGGGGGGTGGTCTTGTGTGATTTTTAAAAGGTCAAGCTGGTGCGTATGTACATGCAAGAAGGAGTGAGACCATGGAAGAGAAAGTTGTGGGAGATCAGAGACTCTGCATATGCACCCCAAGCCAGATGATCCCTGCTGATCAAGTATGCAGTCTGACACACCTTCTATATAGGGATTTTCTTTTCATGGTTCTTGTACCAACGTAGACATGTATCATAATATATTACTAGTACTTGGCAACGCCAGAAGTTACATCAATGCATATATATATATATATATATATAGTGTGCGTGTGCGTGTGTGTGAGAGAGAGAGAGTGTGTGTGTGTGTCTGTCGTAAGATGGTAAAGTTTTTTTATATAAAAAAAGGAAAGAAAAAGAAAATCAAGCAGATGCAGTCTTGGTCTCCCCAACACCAGCACTGGCAGCACCGGTAGCAACAATACCCTCAGGCAACTCATTCATCTCATCCTCATGATCATCCAGATGCCTGAACTGGAAGAAGAAGCACGTGCCAGCCACAAAGGCCAGTCCAGCGACGAGGGTGTAGTTCCAGACGAGGAGGGGGTCGGTCGACAGGCCGACGAGGGCCTGGCCGAGGGCGGCGGCAAAGGCCGTGGTGAAGAGGGCAAAGGCCTGGACCATGGACCTCATGTTCCGCGGGGCCTTGGAGTAGGCGTACTCGAGCGACGTGATGGAGGCGAAGACCTCGGACAGGGCGGTGAGCACGTACGAGCCCGACTGGATCCAGACGTTGAGCGGGGCCGGGTCGCATCCGGACCGCGAGGCGTACTCGCCGCACGACGACTTCTGGTAGATGTAGTGCTGCACCACGGCCGACCACACCATGGCCGCGCTGGCCGTGTAGAAGCCGCACGTTATCTTCTTGATGGGCGTGAAGCGGATGCCCATCTTGCGCAGGGTCGGGTACACGATCTGGTCGTTGATGGGGATGAATATGAGGAGGGCTATCGGGTTTAGGTTGGAGATGACGTCGTTGGGAACACCGTGACGCTGCATCACGGCCGCCTGGGATGTCAGGTTGGACGCTGGAGTTGAAGATCGATCGTTAGTCCCGATCCTTTCTCGAAGGGGGGGGGGTAGCTAGCGGAGCGAGTATGAGGAAGTATAGAGGGAAGAAGAGAGCGAAGCGAGGGGCTATCAAGAGCCGGCCGCAGCGAAGACGGGAAAAGGAGTAGAAAGGTAGCGAGAGCGAGCGTGATGATGATAGTAAAGGGTAGAGCGAGCGTAGCGAGGATCAAAAATGAAAGGAAGAGCGAGCGCAGCGAGGATATGTACAAATAAAAAAAATAAAAAATAAAAAATAAAAAGAGAGAGAGAGAGAGAGAGAGAGAGAGAAGGGGGGGCGTGGTGAGTGGTGAGGATATAAAAACTTACATTGATTATAACACAACCAGAATAGAGGAAGCCACGAAAACACAGCACAAGCACTGAACCCACGACGCAGCTCATCGACCCAAGCATCGTCAAATGTCATCCAGGCAGGACGGGTCTCGTCAGTGAAGCGCGAAGGCTTGACATTATCCCAGAAGGTGCCGTCGTTGAGACTCCTGTACGTGGCGACGGGGTTGACGGACCAGCGACCCTTCTGGGCGAGGAAGAAGGTCTTGAGGGCGGGAGCGAGGACGGAACCGCCCGGTTCGCGGCGGATGTAGCGCTTGCGTCCCCAGAACAGGACGGCGGGGCAGCAGAGGAGCAGGACGGTGGGGAGCGTGTACGACAGGTAGAAGCCGACGTACTTTTCTGCCCAGGCCATGCCGATCTGGCCGACCAGGGCGCCGACGTTGATGAGGAAGTACAGCCAGTTGTAGATGCGCTCGTTCGTCACGGCAGGGTCGACGATGACGCGTTCGCCGCTCTTGAGAGTCTTGACGTGCATGCGCTGCTCACCTAGCTGTTCGACGATGAGGGGCGTGATCTATTATATGAAATTAGTAAGCTAAAGGGGTGTTCATTGAAAAATAGAAATAGTTGATCGAGATGTTGGGGGCACAAACATTCGGCTTGAAACCGCCGGTGCCAAATCCGATGATGATGATGCCGAGAATGAGGCAGCTCAGGGAACCGTCCTTGTTGGTGATGACGGGAGGGATGGCCGACATGATGAGCACAATGTGTCCGAGGACGTCGACGATGAGCGCGTAGCCGATCGTCTTGTAGCGGCCGAGGTACTGGTCGGCCACGTAGGCGCCGAACAGGGGCATGAGGTACTGCCAGAACTGGTTGAAGACGGTGATGGCCGTGGACGCGCGCTGGCCCATGCCCAGGGCTCCGGGCTGCGTAGAGCTGGCGCCGGTGGTCGATCCGGCCGGGAGAGGCTGTTGGATGAAGTTGGTGACTGTCCACGGGGTATTAGTGCACCGTACCGTACTCTTCTTCCAAGGTCGTCACCAGACTTGGGGTGACAATTCTGCCATGTACGTACACACGACGGTGCTGCCGTAGAAGGAGAAGCGCTCGCACAGCTCGATGAAGCCAATGGTCAGAATCTTGGGCGGGATCTTGTTGGATACGCGGCGCAGAGTCGCCAGCTCCTCGTCCGTGGGTAACTCCCACTCGCCATCTGCGGAGGCGGCTGCCGAGGAAGAAGGGTTCCGCGTGACTACCACCGAGTTGCGCTTCTCATCGGCGCCGGCGCCGGCGCCGCCATGCAGCTGGACGACGCCGACCTCTTCAAGGCCGTCATATTGTGTCATTTCTGTTTCGTTCTACGCCCGACAAGAGAGGAGACGATCAACGGTACAGAGAAAAAGAGGAGCACGAAGGAAGAGGGGGAGGGGGGAAAGCCTATCTTTGTTTCCTTTTATCGACAACTAGCATATAGTTTATTCCGCCAGTCCAGATCTGAATGCAACATTGCCTCGTCTCCAGACATGCACCTTTTTTTTTTTTTTTTTTGGGGGGGGGGGGAGGGGGCAGCAGAGGCAACGTACGAGTAATACAGGATGCGACGTGTATCATTCAACCCACCGGTGGCCAAGAAAAGCTTGGAATCCACATACTCCGGCCGCCCCCATGGCCCAATGAGGCAAGTCAATCACGGAGCGTACATTTTCAAACAGAAGACCCAGACGGGTATACCCACGGTGGCTAACCCTCCCGGTGGCCGGGAGGAGCCGGGATTTGGTCCTAGGAGGTTTCCAACTCCGGGATGTACGTATGTCTCGTACGTATGAGGCTCCACCCCCGGTAGTATATATGGCGACAGATATGCATAGAGTAACGCTTGTTTTGCCAGAGGGCTCAGAAAGAAAGGCTCGAGCTTCGTGGCAAAAGATGTTGGCTATTCAACGATCAAGGGTCTCCGTTAGCGTTGCCGATTCAACCGACTCGGCCGTGGTTGAAAAGGGCCGCACATGGGAGAGAGATTGAAGAGTTTTATCAATGCGGTCGGTCGGGCATCCCCGCCCCTCCTCTCAAGTTCGCCGAGCCTGTTATCAGTCCCGGCCGGGGTTGTGGTGCTGCAGGTCTGCGACGTGCAAGATAGCGAGAGGTCTGGTGAGATACAAGAGAGCTGTCTGTCCTGCATCGCAGGGTCAAGTCCAGAAGTCCTCTCCAGGATTCTAGAACAGAGTGATTCAGCATATGGCCGTAGCAGTCAATGCCCAAAACTCGTACATGTACGAGCTGACTCGTAATAAGTTCCCAAGGACAAGAGGACATCTGGGCAGACTATGATGTGCTTGAGTGTGTGGTCCGTGGGTTCCCCACTTGTTGGTGATGTTGCAATCGTGATAGCGCCGCAGGCGAGAGAGAGAGAGAGAGAGAAAAAAAAAAAAAGGGGGGGGGGGGGGGGGGGGGATGCCCCTTGTTTTACTCACGCTGCATACAAAAGTTCATCCTCCTTGCTCTGGTGTAAGAACAATAACTTCTTTGCTCCTCCGCTGCAGAGAGCGC